AATTAAAATTATGAGTGACACATAGTAGGCATTCAGTGAATATTTACTGAAGAGATAAATAACTTACCTAGGTTTTTAAATATATGTATATTTTTATTGATTACAGAGGAAGTGAGAAGGAGAGGGAGAGGGAGATAAAAATATCATCGATGAGAAAGAATCATTGATTGGCTGCTTCCTGCATGCCCCCTACTGAGGATTGAGCCTGCAACCTGGATATGTGCCCTGACTGGGAACTGAACCATGACCTCCTGGTCCATAGGTCAAAGCTGAAATACTTTATTATTTTGTGTTGATACCCTGAAGTCAAGTAAAGGATCATGCTCTTCCTCTAGATTCCACCTAACATTAGCCAAGGGTGGAAGGATTTAACAATAATTTAGTCAAGCTATTTCACTTCTTTGACAGATGGCTCTCTTTACACCTCAATTCCACATGACAGTTGTGAGGACAAGTAGCTTCTTTATTTAGTAGCCATCTGGCCTTAGTGTCAGTTCTCTATAATTTTTAAAAGTTATGACACTGACAATTACTAAAATGTTAAAACACCAGGCCAACCATGAGGACTATGGCAACAAGGATCCCACACAGTTGCCATGGTGATGTGGGTAAACCCATATACAGCATGTGGTGCTCAGCCATAAAATTACAATCATAATTACCCATATATATTGGCTCAGGGAATGATACCTATTATAAGGAGGACATACTAGACTTAAATATCTATATTCATAAGACTAAGGTCAAGAGAAGCAGAGGAAACATTCACTTTTTAAATGTTATATTCTAACTAGAAGCTTAGTGCATGAAAAGCCTGATCTGAAAACCTTTCACAATCCCAGACCTCACCCCAGCTGGGAAAGGACCGCTGGAGGGCTCCAGGGCATGTCTGGCCCATTTCGCTCAGTCCCAATCGAGGTGATTGGGTCCATTTTGCCCAGTCCTTATCAGGCCAATGAGGCTGGCTGGCCAGTAGAGACTGACCACAGAAGGTTGGCCAGACAGAGAGGGATTGTGGGAGGGGTCCAGTCCCAATTGTCTGGACCTCAACAATGAGCTAACCTATCGATTAGAGCATATGCACCCTGGTGGTCAATGAGTGTCATAGCGACTGGTCAAATGGTCAAAAGGTCGGACCCTTAGCATATTAGGCTTTTATATATATAGACTAGAGGGTCGGTGCACAAAATTTGTGCTGGGGGGAGGTCCTCTCAGCCTAGCCTGCACCCTCTCCAATCCAGGATCCCTTGGGGGATGTCTGAGGATCGGGCCTAAACCAGCAGTCAGACATCCCTCTCACAATCTGTGACCACTGGCTCCTAACTACTCACCTGCCTGCCTGCCTAATCACCCCTGTCTCCCCTGTCAGCCTTATCACCCCTAATTGCTCCCCTGCTGGCCTGGTTGCCCCTAACTGCCCCCCCCCCCCCATACTGGCCTGGTTATCCCCAATTGCCCCCCCCCCCCACTGGCCTATCACTCTAACTGCCTCCCTGCTTGCTTGATCAACCCAAAATGCCCCCCCCCCCCAGCCTGGTCACTCCCAACTGCCCCCCATGCTGGCCTGGTCACCCCTCATAGCCTGTTGTTCAGTTACTTGGTCATCCCTCACTAACCCCCCTGCTGGCCTTGTCACCCTATGCAGCCTGCTGTTTGGTCATCTGTCCAGTTGTTTCAGTCATGATTGCTCCTGGATTTTTATATATTAGGATAATACTATTGATAATAATTCCTAACCCAGAGATTAAAAAAATATTTACTAATACAACAAGGTGCATCTATTTTTCATAGGAACAAAAGCAAATATTTTCTAAAGCACAATCTATTTTGATAACATTGTTAAGTACATTTTAATACATTTCTAGAAAAAAATTTTTTTTTAGAATTATCACACAGACCATCTTTTTGAACATCTTCTTATTGATTCTACATTATAGGTATTATCTACATTCTGTAATTGAACAAGGCAAGACCAGGTAACAGAGTGAGTGAATGATGGAGCTGAATTTCACGTTTGCCCTCTGAAGCTCTCCTGCCCACTACCCTGCGGAAGCCAATCATTGTTTCATTAGTAGAGAGGTATGGAGGGGAATCCGGAAGGCTGGTGGTCCACCTTAACTGTTCTCAAAGGTCAGGGCTAATCACTCATTTTTTGGTTGAGACATTGGTAGTTGAAGCAGCCTCCACCTGTTAATCTTATGATTGGCTATTATTGGAGTTTCCTGCCTAGGGGATATGGGTGTATCCTATAATTTTAATCTTAATAAAAAGGATGGTAATGCCAGAGCAAGTAGTAGTCCTCCCACTAGAGTTGGACTACCGCCTGGCCCTCATTTACCAAATTAATGCTTTTCTAGTCTCTTTTCATTTGTGTGTGGCCTTTTCCAGAACCCAAACCCTGAACCAGAACCCTGAATCACGTGGGATGTGAAAGGGGTTTCCACACTACCCAGCACAGCCTACTGAGCCATCTGGAGGGCTAGGAGGTCATGCTGCACTGTGTAGCTCAGAGGGATTAATTTAAGGATTAAAAGCAAGAGAGAAAAAAATCCTTCTATAAAATAAATTTCTACTTGGTTATGAGTATCAAAATCATAAGAGATATAGAGACAAAGAATTTCATTATGTGGTTATTTGCTGGGATTTCCTGAAGCCTGAGAATAAGCCTTGGCAAATATACATATTGTACTTGAACACTTCTTAAAAGCTTTATTAAATATAATTGAAGTATGATAAACTTCACATACTGAAAATGAGTAACTTAAATATTTATATATACATATTGTTGTGAAACCATTACAATAATCAAGATAAAGATATATCCATTCCATCACCTCCACATGTTTTCTCATGGACCTTTTTAATCCCTTCCATCCCCAGGCAACCACTGATCTGCTTTCTGTCATTGTAGAATACTTTGCATTTTCTAAAGTTTTATAGAAATTGAATTATGCAGTGTGCACTCTTTTTTTTTTTTTTTTAAGTGATTTCTTTCACTCAGCAAATTATTTTGAGATTTGCTGCATTGGTAGGTATATCCATAGTTCATTACTTTCTTTTGATGAGTAATTGTCAATTGGACCTATAGCAAATTTTCTAATGCCATTTGTTAAAGAGTATATATTATCTGCACTGGATTGTTTGTGCACCTTTGTGAAAACCAGTTTTCCATTTACATGTGGATCTGTTTCTGAATTTCCTGTCTTGTTTTATTGATCTATTTGTTTATCTTTATGCTAATATTGTGCTGTTTTGATTACCCTATTTTTAGACTGATTCTTGAAAATCATATAGTGCTCATCCACAAGTTTGTTCTTTTCCAGAGTTATTTTGAGTATCCTCAGTCATTTGCATTTCCATAAAATTTTTAAAAATCCATTTGTCAATTTCTATTTTAAAAGAATACTAGAATTTTGATAGTCATTCTTTCAATCTATAATTCAACTTTGGGAGAATTGACATGCTTACATTACAGAATAATATTTGCACATATTTTATCTCTTCATTTAAATCTTCTTTAATTTTATAAACAATGTTTACTATCTATTGCCAGATTTACCACTGATTATTTCATATTTTTAATATTATTTTAAATGGTAGTATTTTTATTTCACTTTCTAATTGTTTACTGCTATTTTACAGAAATACATTTTTTTGTTAATCCTCACTGGAGGATATGTTTTCCATTGATTTTAGAGAGAGTGGACAGGAAGGGGTTAAGGGAAAAGAGGAGAAAGAGAGAGAAACATTGATGTGACAGAGCCACATCCATTGGTAGCTTCCCAGAGTGCCCCAACTGGGGCAGGGAACCTGCTACCTAGGTATCTGCCCTTGACCAGAATCTAACTCATGACTCTTGGTATCATGGGCCAATGCTCTAACCACTTATCCACACCAGCCAGGGCTAGAAATACAGTTTTATATATTAATCTGATATTCTAAAAATTTAATAAACTCACTAGCACTTTTTGTAGATATCATTAAATTTTCTAAATAGACAATCATGCAATTTGTTAATAAAGACAATTTTATCATGTCAAATCTCAGTGCCTTTCATTTCTTTAGTTGATGTAGTAATAATTTACTGACTAAAACCTCTGGTAGTAAGAGGAAACTTCCTTTCCTGATCATAGGGAGATTTTTGTATTAGGTTGAGGATATTTAGTCCATTTCTAATTTGCTGAGAATTTTTATGATAAATTGATATTAGGTTTTTACCTATTTAATAACATCATGAGTTTTTAATACCATAAATTACACTGATCAATTATTGAATATTAAATCAAGCTTAGATTTGGAATAATTGCAACTTAATCCTGATATTATTACTTTTTAAATATTGTTGGATATGATTTGCTATTGATAAAATTGTGTTTAGAATGTTATACCAATGTGTATGAGGTATATTGGTCTGCAGTTTTCTTTTTTCATGATATCTTGGTCTGGTTTAAGAACTAAGATAATGCTGGCCTCATTGACTGAGTTGGGAAGTATCCTTATGCTCTTTAGTTTTCTAGTAGAGTTTATATAGAGTGTTAGTTCTTCCTTTATTTTTGGTAGCAATTCACCAGTGAAAAGTGAAACCCTCTGCTCTGGAGCTTGTGGGAAAGTGTTTACAAATTTAGTTTCGTTAACAGATAGAGGACTATTCAAGTTGTTCATTCATCAGTAAACTTCGGTAGTTTGCACATTTCAAGGAATTTCTCCATTTCATTTAAGTTGACTAATTTATTTGATAAAGTAGTTTTAAAAACCATTTTCTTAATTTTCTTTTTCACATCTGTAAATACTGTACTGATGTGAACCAAGTTAGACTCATTCCTGATATTGGTAATTTGTGTTTTCTCTTTTTTCAAGATCAATCTGTTTTCGTTTGTTTTTGTTAATTCTGACCAAAGGATGTTTTATCATTGAAATTTAGAGAGAGTGAAAGGGAGGGAGAGAGACACAGAGAGAAACACTGATGTTAAAAAGACACCTTGATTGCTTGCCTCCTGCACAAGCCTAACTGGGGCAGGGAATTGAGGCTGTAACTGAGGCACATGCCCTTGACCAGAATGGAACCTGTTACCCTTTAGTCTGCAGGCCAGCACTCTATCCACAGAATCCAATTGCACAATCTTTCCATTTTCTTGATTTTTAAAAAGAACCAGGGTTTAGTTTCATTGATTTTCTCTATTGTGTTCCTGTTGTATATATCATTGATTTTTATTCCGATCTATTATTTTTTTTTCTTTTTACTTACTTCAGGTTTAATTTTCTTCTATTTTCCAAACTCCTGAAGGTGGGTCTTTCAACATTGATTTGAGGTTGTTTTTTTTTTCCCTTTCTAATATAGTCAATTAATGCTATAAAATTCCCCTTAAGTGTTGTTTTAACTGTCTGAACTGTAAGTTTTCCTGGTCTGACTGCTGGGGACCGACACTGTTCCTTGGCCATTATGGGCTCCAGGAGCACTGTTCTCTCTAACTCTTCAGGAAGGTTGCTTTCCAGGCTTCAAATGCAAATAGATATTAATACTTATCAATACTCTAGAGCAGTGGTCAGCAAACTGCTGCTTGCGAGCCACATGCAGTTTGCGAGCCGCAGTTTGCCGCTCTGTTGACTAATGAGTTTGCCAACCACTGCATAAAGTATTACCCTTACCCAGAAGTTTTGACTTCAGGTTAAAGACATTAGTACGTTATTAAAATGTTTTTTTAAGTGTTTTTCCCTAAGGCAGTGAGTGGTTGGCAAACTCATTAGTCAACAGAGCCAAATATCAACAGTTCAAAGACTGAAATTTCTTTTGAGAGCCAAATTTTCAACTTAAACTTCTTGGAATGCCACTTCTTTAAAATAGACTCGCCCAGGCTGTGGTATTTTGTGGAAGAGCCACACTCAAAGGGCCAAAGAGCCGCATGTAGCTCGCAAGCTGCAGTTTGCCAACCACTGCTCTAGAGCAATGATTTCAACTTTCTTCATCTCATAGCATATATAAACTAATTACTAAAATTCTGTGGCACACCAAAATTATGTTTTTTGCCAATTTGACAAAATTAGTTATAATTTTTATTGATTTTTTGAAAAATAATAATATGAATTACCTACCCTTTTTGCTTTTTTTTTATTTTTAAATCAGATGCCTATAGTTGTATATAAGGATTTCTGGCATCAAGAATTAACCAATCAAATGCAACCTTATTATGCTACAAGACCAATTAGATCCAACTGTATTACACAACCTATATATTTATAGTTCAAGACAGGGCATTCACACTTCAATGGGCTATTGTTGTGATAACTGTTGTCATTTTTTATTTGACAACCTAAGGGAAAAGAAGTCAGTGCCCCTGACAAAACAGTCAGGTATTGAAGGTTTAAAAATTCTTGTGACACACAAGATGAAAATTACTGCTCTAGAGGGAACCCCTGCAGACCTCCAGAGTCCTCTTTTCACCCAGCTCTCATCTCTTTGTCTTTGGCTCTGAAAACTCTGGCTTCCTTGGTCTCTCTGAACTCACAATATCATCTTCTTAACTCAGAGGGCCCACCTCATTTATTTGTCTCTTAAGAATAACTGTTGCTTTAGCCGGTTTGGTTCAGAGGATAGAGTGTCAGCCTGTGGACTGAAGGGTCCCAGTTCAATTCTCGTTAAGGGCACATGCCCAGGTTGTGGGTTCAATTCCCAGTTGGGGGGCGAGTAAGAGGCAGCATTCTATGATTCTCTCTCATCATTGATGTTTCTCTTTCGCTCCCTCTCCCTTCCTCTTTGAAACCAATAAAAATATATATTACAATAAAAACAGAATAACTGTCATTCACTGCTTGATGTCTGAAGTCTTGAAAACTGTTTTTTAAATATGTTCTGTTTTTGTTGTTATTTCAAGCAGGAGAGTAAATCTATCCTCTACTACTTCATATATGTTGAAGGCAGGCATTTTCCTATCTGATTTTTTAAAATATATATATATATATATGTTTTTACTGATTTTAAAGAGGAGGGAAAGGGAGAGAGAAACGTTGCATGTGCCCTGAGGGGAATCGAATCAGTGACCTCTTAGTGCATAGGTTGGTGCTCAAACACTGAGCCACACTGGCCAGGCTTCCATCTGATCTTTAATTGTATTCTTATTCATGATCATACTGAAGCCTCACTATAGTTTTGAGAGCTGGGTATTATTTTTAATAATCACCCCCACCTCACATACAGGAAAATGGGAACTCTGAGAGGCCTAGTGGTGGTTATAGGCTGAGTTGTTAATATAGATCTTCTGAGTCAAAAACCAATGCTTTTTACAGTGCACCTGTATGCCTCAAGTGGCTGATTCAGCAAGCTTATCAGGTTTCCCTTTAGTTTACTTCAAATATCTTAATACAGTTAATGAATTGAAAGGTGGCTAGTGGGGTGGGACTGGGCGAGATGGGCGGGACATGCCCGGGAGCCATCCTCCTGTGGTTCCTCCCTGGCCAGCTGCACCTGAAGGGCATCTGTGGAGTGAGTGGGGTCCCTCAGATTGGCCTGCGGGGATCAGGCCAAAACCAGTTCTCCAACATCCCCTGAGGGACCCTGGATTTTGAGAGGGCGGTCCTCAAGATGATGCACCCTAGAATTGGGCTCCCTCCTCTCTGGTTCTGGGGTGCTTCATCGGAGAACTGCCACTGACAAGTCACCACAGCTCAGCAGCTCCTGCATTGAGCGTCTTCCTCCTGGTGGTCACTGTGCATCATAGTTACCAGTTGGATGGTCGGATGGTTGCTGAGCCTTTTATATACAGTAGATCCTTGAGTTACATCAGAGATCCATTTCTACAGCGCGAAGTAATGCGATTTTCGCCATAAGTTGGAACCCACCTACATTACTCACATGGAGCACATACACAGCAGTAATGAAGTGAAACAGTAAAGATAAATAAATAAATAAATAAATAAATAAATAAATAATTCCTGACCTTTAACTTGTGGTAAATAAATAATAAAAATCATAAAGTACATATGTACATACGTCCAAATGACAGAACTTTTTTATATGTAAATAAATGGGAAATGGCAACGTAATCACAAAACAATGTACATCAAGTATGATGTTACATGAGGACTGTCTGAATATAGATATTCTGGGCTTCAATTCTAGTGTCTCAAGAGTTTTGGAACCTTTGCAGGTTCTAAAGTAAGGGCTTGCTTCTGTGGATCTCACTGAGTACTTTCTGTTGCTAAATATTCTTCATGAAAAATTATATACCCTACCACATACTTGGATGAATAATAACTTTCACTTCTTAAGCTCTGGAATTAAAAGAAGAAATGTGACAGATTATGTTTCTTAAAAATTTGATATGTTTGTGAGTGTGTGTGTGTGTGTGTGTGTGTGTGTGTAGGGGGTTAATCTGCGTCTATGTTCCATGTCCTTAAAGCACACGCTGAGATGGAGAAAAAAGTTACCCCCAGCAATGAAAAGTATCAAAATGTAAAAAAATCCAAGAATTGTATTAAGTCCAAACTGTCACATTAAATTCTAATTTAACTTAATTCTTTGGATGATATAAAGACAGGAATGGACTTTTGCTCAGCAGATTTTACCACATGCACTAGGATAATGGGATCAATTATTTTCTTTGGTTTATGGTTATTAATATTGTTCTAGTGTAGCCTTTCCTGAAGTATGGTGTTAGTCAGTGTTACTTAAGAATGAGTTTATAGTAAAAGAAAAAAATATGCTGGGATAAAGAAGGGTATTTAAAAATTTTTATAGCAGGATTTGTCTTTTCCAACATGTTGATATACATTATGGATCTCTAAAGAATGGATACAAAATGTGACAATCTCAATATAGGTAGTCATGGAGTCTTTTCTTTTCCACACTGAATTAATTTTATTTCCAAATGCAACTTCAGAAATGTTAATATTGTATGAGGATGAGGAACCTCTAATCCAGAGATTAGCTGTGGCACTTACTCTATTTTAATTTGTGATACTTTTCTTACCCAGTTAATTACTTCTTTTCAGTGCACTATTTCAGCTTTCTTGGTCACGTTTTCAGACTTAAGAGATGGTGAAGTGTTCTGAATAATGGCTAAACCACTAATATGCATTTAAAATTCAAAGAAGATAAAAGAAAAAAATTCTGATGCATAAGAAAGTATCCTTTAACTAACCACCTCCAGTTCTCATGAGGACATTCATGAGAGAACATGTGGACACCGTTAGCTGGAAACTTGCTGTAACAGAAAGAGAAGAGAAACACCTCCAAGTATAGATGCCTATGTGAGTGGTTATTTGTTGGCATAAAAATAAAGGACATGGAGGATCTGGGTTCAGTATCTGGATTGGTAAGTGGAGAAAAGACAAAAGGCATAGGGAGGGAAATGTCAGGCAATCCGAGTTCCTCTGAGAGCACAGAAACTGGAGTTATTAGAAAGCATGGACATGTAAGCTCAGTGGAATGGACAAATATTTTGAGGCAGGCCTTCCACTGAGAAAGACTTAGCATGTGCAAAAGAACAGGGTTAAGGGGCCAGATCACTCTAAAATGCAAGTGCACAGTCTATGAAGTGGCACAGGTTTCACGAGTTTAAGGAATAGAAGATGTAAATGCAAATTCCAGATTTCAAAAGTTTTGATTGGAGCCAAAAAGTTTAGATTTTTTTATTCAGACATTGAAGAACATCTTTAAGAATGAAAGTAACATGATGAGATTCACTCTTTAGATCAGGGGTAGGAACATCTGGCCCATGGGCCATATAAGACCAGTGAAATCTTTTGGTCTGGCCATACTATAGTTAGACTTAAATGATAAATTAAATAATAATAAATGAAAAGTATTAATAATATAATTTAATTTTTCTAATTGTTCATTTAAATTACCTGGTAATAAAAGTTACAGAGAATTTAATGAATACTGTTTTCTAATAACTATAGGACAGTATATAGCAGGTTAATAGCAGGCTATAAACACACAGGAAAAAATGCCATGGGAAGGCATTTAGCAGGCTAATTTTTAAGTTGAACATTTTGTATGGCCCGTGAATGATGTTATAAATATCCAAATAGCCCTTGGCAGAAAAAAAGGTTCCCCACCCTTGTGTTAGATAAACATCTTGGAGATAATTTTCAGCATAAAATGGAGGAGAAAGATGCTGATATCAAAAGGAAAATTTAATTGGGAGATTACTGATACTGGACAGGAGAGAGAATGAAGAAGCAAATGTCAGCAGTAGTATAAATCCTTGAAATCAGGCAGTAAGAAAGAGGGAACACATATGAACATTTTTCCATCAGGGGAATTCACAGCATTTGGTGACCAGTTTAATGAAAGGATGAGAGAAGGGGACTATATGAGGACCACTTACTCCTACATCTCAGGAGACAGGGTGGATGAGTGACTCTTTTACTTAAACTGGAGATTCAAGAAGGAGGAAAGGGAAGTTGGAGGCTGTGGTTACAGAAGTCATAATGAGATTAGTTTTAAATACAAAAGTTTGAGGTACCTTCAGGATATCCAGGTGAGGATGTTTGTGTGCTAATGTCATAAATGACACCTCTGAAAGTTAGTGGAAGCGACAGAAGAATTTATAAAAAGGAGAAAGCAACTAAATATCAGTGGGTAACAGAGTATAACTGTAAAGGAAATGGGTCCTTAAATTGGTTCAAAAATAGACTATCATGCAGTTATTAGAAAACAGTATTAATTAAATCTTCTGTAGCTTTTATTACTAGGAAATTTAAATAAACAATTAGAAAAATTAAATCATACTCTTAATGCTTTTCATTTATTATTATTAATTTAACTTACAATTTAAGTCTAATATAATTGTGCAACTTAAGTAAGACTCACTGAAACCAGGCTCACTGTTAATAATATGTAAAGCTGGAGTTTAACAATATAGCATAGTTGAAACATATAAGGGCTATAATAATATTTTGATTTAAGTTTTTAGATCCTTAAAAAAACAAAAATAACAAAAGTATAAATATTTTAGACATTATAAATGGTAGGCTTTATTTAAACATCAAGAATGGGATTACAGGGGAGTAACAATTAAGAATAAAGAGTGGCCTGGCCCTGGTGGCTCAGCGATTGAGCATTGACCTATGAACCAAGAGGTCACAGATCCATTCCTGGTCAGGGCATGTGTCCAGATTGCAGGCTCGATCCCCAATAGGGGGTATGCAGGAGGTAGCCCATCAATGACTCTCTCATCATTGATGTTTCTGTCTCCCTCTCTTCCCTTACTCTCTGAAATCAATAGAATTATATATATATATATATATATATATATATATATATAATTACATATAATATAATATATATAATATATATATTATATATAATTATATATATAATATAATATATATATATATTAAAAGAATAAAGAGTAAAGGAGGAACTTCTGATATTAAGAATGATGAAAAGAAAGAAAATGAAAATCCTTTCATTACATTACTTTAACAGGCCAAAATAATTAAAAAAAAATTAAAGGCAGTAACAATGTATAGAAGCAACAAAGACAATGAACTAGCAGAGAGTACACCTACAGAAGTGGGCAAGTGGCACCGGCTACTTTATTACCTGAGGTATCTGCAGGTTCTGGACCAGGTGATGAGCCAGCTTGGACTAAATAAGGAAACATATTTCCTATGGCTGCCTAATAAAGTACCACAAACTACATGGCTTAAAACAACAAATTTAGCCTCACTGGCATGGCTCAGTGGTTGAGCACTGACCTATGAATCAGGAGGTCCTGGTTTGATTTTCAGTCAGGGCACATGCCCGGGCTGCAGGCTCAATCCCCTATGTGGGGTGAGCAGGAGGCAGCCTATCAATTATTCCTTCTCATCATTGAGGTTCCTCTCTCTCTTCCTCTCCCTCTCTGAAATCAATAAAAATATATTTAAATAAATAAATAAACAAACTTATTCTCTCACAGTCTGGTCCCAGCAGGGCTACCCTTTCTCAGAGACTGTGGGTAGAACCCTTTCCTGCCTCTTTCTAGCTGTAAGTCTTTGGCAGCCCTTGTCTTTCTGCAGCATCATTCCAGTTTCTGCCTGTGCCTTCCATGGCATTTTCCCTGTGAGTCCTGTTTCTTTTTTTACAAAGACACCAGGCACATTGAGTTCATCTTATTCCAGTATGTCCTCCTCTTGCCTAATTACATCTGCACTGATGCTATTTCTAAATCGTCACCTTCTGTGGTTCTGGGAAAGGACATGGATTGTTGCTGGGATGGGGTGGTGGTGGTGGGGATGCATAATTCCACCTGGGATAGGACACTGCTGGAAAAAGAGAAACCAGAAAAAGTTTTGGAATTTGAAATGATCTGGTATGTCAAACTCCAGGAGCCCTAAGTGCATGACAGCCATTTCCCCTCCTGATCCAATTGCTGATTCTGCAGGTGGCATAGAGGCTCAAGATTCTGAAGAGAAAGACTGAAGTCTCCCATTGTTTTGTATTATTTGGGAAAAAAGCTCCACTTGAAGAATAGAAACTGCTCAAACTTCAGTTAGCTTCCCCCCCCATGAAATATGCCAAACTTAGAAACATTATGGCGCAGGAGACTGTAGAGCAAAGCTCAAAAATAGTAAAAATTTCTGAGTCAGTCATACAGGGCAGGGAATATAATAGCTAGACTCTCAATTAAAATTCTGTGCTAATTGTTCCTTAAAGACATTTTAACGAGCGGTTGATTGCTGCTATTTTATGCTACAACCTACGCCATCTCAGTTTCTCTGAATCTGGAAAAGGCAAGCTATCACTGGGGGGAAATAACGTAAAATTCAATCTTTATGGTGACTTTTCAACTCATTATCTAGCAAAAAAGAAAATATACTGTACATGTCAGGAAACACAGAATGGGACCAATGACCATGAGAAGTAAATCAACAGAAATTGACTGACCAAAGAACCAGAAGGACCGTTAAATGACTATGATCAGTATGTTTAAGGAAACAGTGTAAAGGATTGAAAAAAATAGGTGAGAAGGAGAACTTTAACATAAAACTGGAACCTATTATCAAATAATTAAATTGGCATTCTGGGATCATTAAACATCGAATCAGAAATGAAGTATTTCTTATTTTGATTAACAGTAGACTGGGCATAAGAGAAGACATGATTAGTGAAATAAAAAAGAGTAACGGAAAAGAATGAAACTGAGCACACAGAGAAAAGATATGATGGGACAGATAAAGAACCACATGTGTGACACAGTCAAATAACCTCACATTTGTATAACTGGGTACAAGGAGAAGACAGAAATGTGGCAGAATGAATGTTTTAGGAAATAATTTCTGGGGTTTTTCAAAACTGGTGAGAATCTTTAACCTACAAGTTTAGAAACGTTTGGTAACCTTAAGAAAGAAATATTCAAGGGAATTCATTCCTAGTCTCCTCATAGTTAACTAAAAGTTAAAACACACACACACACACACACACACACACACACACATACACACACACACACACACAAAATCTTAAAAGCTAAGAAAAAAGACATACTACTACCAGGGAAATATTTAGAGTTGTGGCTAACTTCTCAATGAAATCATAGAATCCAGGAAAATAAATATAGAATGCTGTTTTAAAAGAAAAAATAAATAAAACCAAACAAAAGGAAACCTACCTTCTTTATTATTATTTTTTTTAGATTACAGTTATTTATTTATTTATTTATTTATTTATTTATTTATTATCTTACCTTTTGCAATAGCATGGATGGACCTGGAGATTATTATGCTAGTAAGTTAAATAAGCCAGTCAGAGAAAGACAAATACCATATGATCTCACTTATATATGGAATCTAATGAACAAAATAAACTGATATACAAAATAGAAACAGAGGCATGGATCCATAGAACAGACTGATAGCTGTCAGAGCAGAGAAGAGAGGGGGACTGGATAAGAGAAGGTGAAGGGATTAGACAGAGAACATAAATGCATAACCCATAGACCAGTGGGTCTCAACCTTCCTAATTTTGTGACCCTTTAATACAGTTCCTCATGTTATGGTGACCCCCAACCATAAAATTATTTTTGTTGCTACTTTATAACTGTAATTTTGCTACTGTTAATGAATCATAATATAAATATCTGTGTGTTTTTTTGATGGGCTTGGGCTCTACAGCAGTGGTTCTCAACCAGTGGGTCGCAACCATAGACACTAAGAACAGTGTGGTGATGGCCAGGGAGAAGTAGGGGTGGGGCTGGGCTGAGGTGAGCATAAGGGGGGAAAATGGGACACCTATGGTAGTGTCAACAATTAAAAAGAAAAGAAAGAAAACCTGCCAATATAGAATGCTATAATCAGTAAGTAGATCCTTCAAAACTAAATGTGCAATAAAGATACTTTCAGGAAAAAGAACACTGATGAAATTTGTTGCCAGCACTTTATAAAAAAAATACTAAAGGGAATTCTTCAATATTGAAAAGACTATACATAATGAAGACCCTGGACACTGTTGACTGTATCTAGCAAATATCCTAACAAAGCTCTGTAGTGCTGTATATAAAACATGCAAAAGTAAATTATATAGCAATAGCAAATGAAGTGTGAGGGGGGTAAACTGAGATATATATAAGATTGTTGAATGAAAACATGAACCAACATAAAATAGTTTGTATTAATTAAGAATTCACTTAGTGATTTCTGTTGAAAACTCCAAATGAATTATATGAAAAAATGAAAAAAAATTGTCCAGATGGGTGGTAGAATGAAACAATAAATCTGCTTACTGTTGCAGGTCTTGTTGTATTTGCTGTTCTCCTGTGCAAACCCTTCCAGCCGACACTGGAAACGATGCTGCCAAAACTCTTGAAACCAAGGGTTTCGGAGGTTTGTTTCTGGCCGTAGCTGCAGATAATAATCATCGAACCACTTGACATCGGGAGATTGGAGCTTGATTGTGATTCCACCAACAGCTTCTCGCTGATATCCATCCGTCACATCATACCTGTCAGCCCAGCCATCACTGTGGGGAAACAGACAACCCCTGGCTCAGAACAGTTATCTCCTAAGCAAATGATATCATTGGCTTTCCTTTTGAAAAGCTGTAGTTAATTGGCCATTTCAGGCCACATCATGGCCCTGTACAACACCTACATGATTTTGAATAGCAGTCTGCTGGAATTAAAAATGCAAAGCACATTGAAACCTTGGGTCTAAAAGTGCTGAAAGGCACAAGCCCCACTTACCTTGTACTGTACAGAATAACTTAATGGTTTGCAGCATTTCTCTGGTTGCAAAATACAATGTATGCCTGAAGCTGCATACTATCACCATTCACAATATTTACTGAACATTTTACAGCTAAATCAAATTAGTTCACTTTAAATACATTATTTTATTAATAGTAATTATTATAAGATCACAAAATAAGAGTAAACCAAGTTAGTTCACTTTAAATACATTATTTTATTAATAGTAATTATTATAAGATCACAAAATAAGAGTAAACTATTGATATTTCTAAAAAATGCTTATTATTAATTTAACCATCATATGACATGATTCTTTCTTTCTCCTTCCTTCCTTTCTTTCTTCCTTCCTCCCCTCCCTCTCTTCCTCCCTCCCTCTCTTCCTCCTCCCTCTCTCCCCTTTCTCTCTCTCTCTCTCTCTCTCTCTCTCTCTCTCTCTCTCTCTCTCTCTCTCTCTCTCTCTCTCTCTCTTCTACATTTTACAAGTGAATTATAGAGAGGTTTAAAAAAAAAAAAAAAAAAAAAAGCTTGCTGCCCTAGCCCATTTGGTTCTGTGGATAGAGCATCTGCCTGCTGAATAACAGTTCCCTCCCGGGTTCAATTCCTGTCAAGAACATGTAACTTGGCTGCAGGCTGGATTCCTGGCCTGGTCGAGTATGGGAAGTAACCAATCTACATGTCTCTTTCTCATCTCTTTCTCATTGAAGTTTCTCTCTCTCTGTCTCTCTCCTTCCCTTCCACTCTCTCTAAAAGTCAATGGAAAAATATCCTCAGGTGAGGATTAACAAAAGTAAAAAAATATACTGAGTCTTTGTATTTCATAGTTTGTATAGTCTTTCCAATCCCATCCTGATTCTAAATACATTTAAAATACACATAGAAAATTATGTTTTACATTAGAATGATTGAAAGGACATCCTAACAATGTGCTATTGATGGTGTCAAGGAACATATGCTGCAATGTTGCTGTCATTCTGTGCACTGATCATTCAAAATCTAGGAATTTTAAAATAAAAGAGTTAAAATTAGAGAGTTCATGGTATAATGACCTGAGTATAACAGCTTAAGTAAAAGTATTCTTAGCTGATAATAAAAATATATGAGACACAACACTAGAAATAAAAGACATTGAAATAATGTTAGTATTAAATTTATTCACACCTTGGGACATTAGGGGGGAAAAGACACTGACTTTTCCTGTACTCTTTCCCACTGAAATCTGTCCAACTTGCTTAAACTGGTTTGGCTCAGTGGATAGAGCGTCAGCTTGCTTACTGAAAGGTCCCAGGTTTGATTCCTGTCAAGGGCATGTATCTTGGTTGCAGACACATTCCCAGTAGTGGGTGTGCAAGAGGTAGCTAATAGATGATTCTCTTTCATCAATGTTTCTAACTCTCTATCCCTCTCTCTTCCTCTCTGAAAAAAATCAATAAAATATATATTAAAAAAAAAGAAAGAAATTTGTCCAACTTGTGCTATGCATCTGCTGGGACCCAGTGGTGCTGGTCTTCCTTTGAAGAGATACAAGTGTTCTTTCAATAAAGACAAAGAAAGTCAAGGGGAAATTCAACAATGAAAAATAAAATAACACCAAAGAGAGAAGAGAAGGGAAACAGAGAGGGTTGAGTGGAAGAACAGCATGAAGCCTTCTGAATGGCTGGTTGATCTGTGAAGGTTAGCTGGATTGGGGAATGGGCACTAGGGAAAGGGTGAAGGCAAAGACCTACATTAAACAATCATTGTTTACTTAATTGATATCCAGCTATTTCTATTTATCATAATTTACCAGAATGTTAATGGACTTTTCCCATCCTCCAAATTACTCTTTTGTTGTTCCTACTTTATTTTTGCAGGCAGAGAGCATGTTCCAATATTTTGCCTATAAAATCAGTGCTCAGGGATGTGCTATGGAAGTAATTAATTAACATAAGTGCAAAAAGCATTGTTTTTTTTTCTTTTTTCTTTTTTTTTTTTAGTATACTCTTTTATGTGAACTTTAACTTAACATTTGATAGAGTTGTTCCAAAGGTCATAGATTACTCATTAAGATATCATAGGGGCTCAAGAAAACTTGAGAGATTTCCTAAGGCCTCACTGGGTGGTAGAGAAAAATAAACAAACAAAATAAGCTATTTCTTCCTCTAAGTCCTCCTTGACAGGAAGATATTTCAATATAAATTATCTATGGTGAAATTTCAAAAACTTTTGTGGCAGATCAGGAAAAAAAAGCAATATGTTTCACTCCCATGTTGAATTTCATTACTTCTCACATTATCTTCCCTCAAGATTCTCATTTTCAGCTGCAGAAGATTTTATTTAAAGCTGACAAATTGAAATGAAGTGGGCTTGTTTGCCTCATTTTCTCCCTCTGTTTTGGAGGATGTATTATATCATTGGTATGAGAGTGTGGGTCTCATTGGCACTTGAAGAGATGCATGGGCGTGCTGCGAATGAGACAGGAAGCTCTGTTTGTCAAGCACCCAGTCTCCAAAGAAGAGAGAATTTAAATTGCTCCTTTTGTTAATATGAGCTTGCTCTCATGTAATGCTATGACTATGAATATTACATAAGAAATATAATATCGATATTACAATGGGTCCAATTTACCCTTCTACAATTCATTAATTGAATTTAATGGGGATCGTAAAAATCTGTTCTGATAAACTTGTTTTTGGATGTTATATTCCATGAAAAGTGTTAGAACCAGAGTGTGTTAATTTACTCATCTCTCATCATGATTTTTTAGCTTTTTAAATTTATTTTTTATTATTTATTTATTTTTTTGATAATCCTCACTTGAGGATATGTTTCCCATCAATTTTTAGACTGGGAAGCAGGGAAGCAGTGGGGGTGGGGAGGGAGGAGAAAGAGAGAAAGAGAGAAAGAGAGAGAGAGAGAGAGAGAGAGAGAGAGAGAGAGAGAGAGAGAGAGAGATGTGAGTGAGAGACACCTAGATTGGTTGCTTCCTACATGAACCCAACCAGGCTGGGAACTGAACCTGCCACCCAGGTACTTGCCTTTAACTGGGAATTGAACTTTTTGGTAAAATCTCTTCTATGTAGTTAACAATTTAACCAGAAATGATATTTTATTAGTAATTTACAAGTTAGAGTTGTGAGTTTAAAATAATTTTGACCTGTATTCTTTCATTCAATAGCAAAATAAAAATCATAGAGGAGTGTGCATAAACAGAAAATTCCAATATCTATGTGACAAAGCCGGATTATTCTATTTAAACTTATTGGGGATTATTTGATATGTAAGTCTCAAGAAAGTTCATTCCATGCTGGCTAAGTTAGATGGTGCTATATTGACTCTAGGTTATTAAAAATTAACATTTTAATAAAAATGTGCTTCTAAGATTTGTGTTAAGATGACCGTGTATGTAGAATGAGGAATAATACATTCAAAAGTAAAATGATATATCAAGAAAAAGTTGAGCTTACTTTTCTACTATCTAATGCTTTCTATTGCATTGATAGAGTGACTATCAAGATTTTGGTACTACTTTATTATCTTTGGATGACTAATATATTACCAAATCAGAAAAAAAAAGTCAGAAAGATTAGGAAACAAACTGGAAATATACCATATTTAAGACACTTTTCTAGATTTTGTTTGTATGTGTGTATCTTCTATCTATCTATCTATCTATCTATCTATCTATCTATCATCTATCTATATATCATCTATCTATCTCTCTATCTATCATCTATCTATCTATCTATCTATCTATCTATCTATCTATCATCTATCTATCTTCTATGTATTATCTACCAGTCCACCCATCCATCCATCCATTCATCCATCCATCCACCCACCAATCCATCCATCTATCCATCCACCCATCCATCCATCCATCCATCCATCCATCTACCAGTCTATCCATCAACCTACTCACATATCCATTTAACTATTCATTCATGAAACCAGCCAACCAGCCACATAATTTCTCTCTCTTTTCACTGATTGGTATTTTATCCATCTCCTATAATTGATTTCATTGTTTTCTTTCTAATTCTTTGATAATGACTCCATCCTCATTATATGCAGACTAGAGGGCAGGCGTACAAATTCATGCACTAGTGGGTCCCGTGGCCTGGCTTATGGGGATCAGGCTGAACCTGGCTCTCTGACATCCCCCGAGGGGGTCTCAGATTGTGAGAGGGGTGGGCTAGGCCAAGGGACCCCCATTGGTGCATGATCGGGGCTGGGAAGGGACTTCAGGAGGGCTCCAGGGCATGTCTTGGTCCATCTTGCCCAGTCCTGATCAGATGGACCCCAGCAGCAAGCTAACCTACCAGTCGGAGCATCTGTCCCCTGGTGGTCAGTGTGCATCATAGTGACTGGTCAAATGGTTGGACACTTAGCATAATAGGCTTTTATTATATAGGATTCTATATTTGCAGAATCATCTATTTAGTAAAATTTATTATTTTTTGTTTTTTTTTTAAATTGATTTTGCTGTCTAAAATAATCCCCAAGCATAGTACTGATGTGTTATCCAGAGTTGCCAAGAGCAAGAAGGCAAACATTAGGTTTAGGCAAAAAAAAAAAGGAGAAAATGAATGCAAACTGGGGTCAACAATAATCAGATTGCCCTTGCTATGCTCTCTAGCATTTCTTTTTCCTAGATTTTATCTAATTTCTACATACAAAATTGATTTGAATGTTAAAAATGCAAGTTAACACTGTTTTTATATGTGGTTCCAGCGCCATATTGAACCCACTCTATTTTGTTTGTTTTTGTATGCTGGATAATAGCTGTTGTCAC